CAGCTTTTTCTGCTTATGTGGTGCTGAGGAATCGAACCCAGGGCCTCATGCATGCAAGGCAAGCGCTCTACCACTGAGCCACCTTCCCAGCCCTCCTAAGTCTCTTGAATATCTCGGATTATAGGCATGACCTTCTAGTACCAGCCATTATTTTGATTTTTCAAATAGTTATTACGTTCTGGCTTACACAAATTACTCCCATTTTACAACCAAGGAAGCAAGAGTGAAGAAGAGATTTGATGATGCTTTTTTTTAATTTTTGAGTTTTCTTTGATGAACTGGGAATCCAATGAGGGTTCAAGTATTCTATCACATGAACCATATCCTCAGCTCAATAATTTTCCATTCATTCATTCATTCATTCATTCAGAGGCGAGGTCTCACTGACTTTCCCTAGGTTAGTTTCAAATGTGTGATCCTGCTCCCTTAATCTCCTAAATACTGATATTGTAGGCATATACAACAATCCTTGGCTTTGAAGAGGAGACCTGAGAAGCAGAATGACATAATAAAATGAAAAAGGGCTTGGAAGACAGAAAGAACCAATGGCTGTAAGAGCTGCTATGGGAGCCAACCCGAAATGAAAGCAGGTATCAGAACAGAAGTACTGTACTGAGGGCAGAATCCATTTTGTCCTGGGGGTACTTGCTGATTCTGGCCAACTGAAAATAGTTTTCAATGAATTATAGAAAATGAAATAATAAGAATGTTGAACAAGGTTACTGAAAATAAAATTAATACTAAGTTGGGCAGGATGGCAACCAGGAGGTGGAAGCAGCAGGATCTTGAGTTTGAGGCTGACTTGAATTACATAGCAAGATCCTGTCTCAAAAGGCCAAGGGCTGGGGTTGTACCGTAATGATAGAGGGCTTGCCTAGCATGCACGGGCCCTGTCTTGATTACTAGAACTAAATAAAGACAAATAAAGGCAGGAGGATCCTGAACTTAAGGCCAGATAGGAGTATATAGCAAGTTCCAGGACATCCTGAACCACAGAAAGAATGAGGCCTGTTTTAAAACACACACAGACACAGACACACAGACACAGACACACACACACACCACCACCACCAAACAAACCGTCAGTCTAATTTCTGTAATCAGTATAAAATTAGAAATCAATTTTTATGATGTTAAAAAATATAAAGTACTATGAAATAAAACTAAACTTTTATTAAGAGACATTAAAGAAGGCCTATGTAAATGGAGACTACGCTATAAATGACTCAATTAAAAACAATATCTTTTTTTTGTTGTTGTTGGTCGTGGGGCTTGAACTCTGGGCCTGGGCGCTGTCCCTCAGCTATTCAGCTCAAGGCGAGCGCTCTATCACTTGAGCTACAGCGCCACTTCCAGTTTTCTGGTGGTTTATTGGAGATAGGAGTCTCATGGTCTTTCCTGCCCGGGCTGGCTTTGAACCACGATCCTCAGATCTCAGCCTCTTGAGTAGCTAGGATTACAGGCGTGAGCCACCAGCGCCCGGCCAGTATCATTTTTTTTGAAATTTGATTTACAGATCCAGTGTAATCCCAATAGTTTTGTTTTTTAATTTTCTAACTTTAAAGGACTGCATGAGGCTGGGAAGGTAGCTTAGTGGTAGAGTGCTTTGCCTAGCATGCATGAAACCCACCCCTGGGTTCAATTCCTCAGTACCACATAAAGGGAAAAAGCCAGAAGTGGCTCTGTGGCTCAAGTGGTAACAGTGCTAGTATTGGGCAAAAGAAGCTCAGGGACAGTGCCCAGGCCCTGAGTTCAAGTCACAGGTCTGACAAAAGAAAAGAAAAGAAAAAGTAAAAGACTGCACAAGGGGGTCCAATAATTTTTTTAAATAAAAAATTAAGTCAAGCATGGTGGCACCCCTGTAATCCAGCGCTTGGGAGTTCAAGGCAGGAGGATCTTGAGGTTGAGGCCAGCCTGCTATATAGCAAGAACTTGTCCTCAAAAAGAAACAAACTAAAAGCTATTTTAATGTCAAGTAGTAATTAAGACATGGTGCTAGGCATCAGTGGCTCCTCTGTAATCCTAGCTACTAAGGCTGAAATCTGAGGTGACTAAGTCGGCCCAGTAGGCAAATCTGGAAGACTCTTGTCTCCAATTAACTAGCAACCCCCTTCCCCCCCCCAAAAAAAATACACAAACTGGAAGCAGAGGTGTGGCTCAAGTGGTAAAGTGAAAAGCCAAGTGAGAGCAAGAAGCCCTGAGTGCAAGCCCAGTACGGCACAAAAACAAGAATGAAAGGGAAAAAAAAAAGAAAATTGAATGAGCTCTTACCTTTAAAATAGCCATAATATTGGAGGTGATGGTGCATGAAGTCATCATAGGGATCAGGATGAGTCTGTGAAAGAAAAGTTCATCTCAATCACAAAAGTCCTTTCAAAGGATGCTGAATATTTTGTTTTTTTTTTGTGTGTGTGTGTGGGTGGGTGTGTGTGTGTGTGTGTGTGTGTGTTTGTGTGTGGGGGGGGGTCGGTTGTAGGGTTTGAACTCTGGGCCTGGGCGCCTGTCCCTCAGCTCTTCAGATCAAGGTTAGCGCTCTACCACTTGAGCCACAGTGACACTTCTAGCTTTTTCTGCTTATGTGGTGCCGAGGAATGGAACCCAGGGCCTCATGCATGCAAGGCAAGCACTCTACCACTCAGCCACCTTCCAAGCCCCGAAGCTGAATTCTTAACAAAAAGTGCCGAGCTAAGTCGTATGTGACAGTGTACTACTGGAGGCCTTCTGTAAACAAACACACTGAGATCCCTGTGAACGATCCCATCTCAGGGACCAAGGTCTCCAGGGGGAACTGGGTTTCTGTGGAGTTCTGGGGTGAGTGTGTACCCACCTCCTGCTTTAGGTCAGTTTCCAGTGCTGGGAACATGTTCCTGCTGCATGATACGCGGAGGGCCGTCTGGAGTCACCGCACCTAGGCTGCCTAGTTTCCACCAGGGCAGCTGCTCACATGCGAGAAGCTGCAAGTCAATCCCGGGAGCAAGTGTGAAGCCCTGCCGGTGCCCTCTTCCCGCACCTCCCCGCCCACCCATTGGAGCACCCCGGAGGAGGGGGGCCCACACGGTGGTTCCCAGCACGCACCCCGGGGCGGGGGGGGGCACACCTGAGGGGTCAGAGGGCGCGGCCGGTCTTCCCGCCCAGCCTTCCCCAGGCGCCAGGCCCCTGGCTGGCCCCATGCTTCGCTCTCGCCGCGGGAAGGAAATGGGGGTGGGGCGGCCTCCAAGACGCTGAAGATGGCAGGGGACCAGGTGGGCCCTGAAACGGAATGAAGTTCTGAGCCCGCGGGGCCTGGCGGGACCCAAGCGGGGGCGGGGATGCGGGGGAGGAGAGTGTCGCCGGGCGAGGTGGAAGGCCCGCGGGGTACCGGACGTGAACCCTGCCAGTCCAACTCACCTACACCGCTTTGGGCGCCGGCCTGGGTTTCCTGGCAACCAGGAGCCGGAAGCAGGGGGGCGGGGCTGCCCAACAGCCAAGCCCCGCCCCCCGGAGCTGGGTCAGGCGTCGGAAGTTAGTTTGCTCTTATGGCAACCACTACCCCACTCATCTGGGCATAGTGTTGGGTCTTCATCGGATCTTCCAAGTGGCTCACTGCCTGTCAGCTTGTGTGTGGCGCTACCCGGGCTAGAACTCTGGGCCTCGGGTTCCCGCTTGGCTGTGTGCTCAAGGCATGACCCTAACCACTTGAGCCACACCAATACCTGTGGGATTTTTGGAAGCCGTGTCCTCTGGAGCTAACTTGGAATGTGATCCCCAGAACCCATCCACAGGAGTACCTACACACAGGCAAGAGCCTCTGCGCCCGCAGCTTTTGGGCTGTAGTTTACTCATTAGCCTCTTTCACTTTTAATTAACTAAGTAGCCTAGTCAGATATATCCCAGTCTGGAAAACTCCCCAGTCAGGACAAAAGCTTTGCTAGTTGATAACCTTATTTATTTGCATAAATTTACTCTAAGCAAGTAACAAAAGAATTTTATATACAAAACAGGTATCCCAATATTCACTATGGTAAACAAAAATTCAACACACTATCATACATGACAATGACCAGGTTAAAAAAATTTAATTATATGCATAGGAATATGTGGATATAAGATTTAAACTAATGTCTTTGGTCAATTATATACAACTATTAAGTATACATTACTTTTATAATCACCTTTGTATACGTAAGAAGAAAAAAGCCTTTAAAGCACCTTTATATTTTTCAGAATGTTAACCACATTACATCATTTCCAGGACTTAAGTAGGTCAAATTTTATAAATAGGGTATAAGCTCCAGAAACTGAGCACCATCTGGTGCTAGAGGCCTATTTTTCTACATCCCCCCACCCCCAAGATACTGCTAGCTTCTTCATGAATGTTTGTTCAGTTGTGCATACCTTGCACCACATTTGAATAGAAAACAGCAATTAAGAATTGAGTAAAATAAGTCCTGGTTACATAATTGTGGAATAACAGTTTAACGAGGAATAGGATAACCAATCAGGAGTATAAAAAGACTTTTATTAGTGCATATATACATATTTACAAGGTCAGAATCTGGAGAAATACAAATAGCTTTGAACACAAATTTGCTTTTCTTCAGTTTAAAGTGACTTTACCTGATTGTGATAGTACAGACAATGAACTATTTTCTAAATACTGGAATTTTATGGAAAATACATTCACACACAGAAGGAAGGTAAATTTTAGAATATGCAAGAACAATGGAAACATAATACATAGAGCGGCTACTGTTACACTGTCACATATTTTTCACAAGGGAAAAATTTCAAAATAAAGGTATGAACGCCCATGGCTGCTATTCCTGCCTGTACTTAAAATTTAAATATGCTACCTAGTGTGTCAAATCCTGGAACTTATGAGAAAAGATTTACTTCTAAGGCTGGCCATCAGACAGACCTCAACATCTCTGGGCAGACTAAAGAGGTCAAAGAGAGATCCAAGCAGAGTAGAATAAAAAGTTGCCTTCTTAATTGAACTTGTTCTGGAGTGGAAGTTAATGAAGTGTGTCAAATGGGAATTCAATTAAGATCTAATAGGCAGGAAAATCCTTCACTTTTTGTCAAGTCCCCTACTGAAATGCCATGCTCACAAGCTACATATTTTTCAAGATTGATACTAACATGTTAAGACTGCCTGTGAGAATAAAAGTAGCCACATTAGAGCAATTCTAATCACCTCACCTTCAGCAAACAGAAAAATTACATTTCATGAATGGACAACTTTGTGAACATATGCTCCTGGCCCAAGAAAGGCTCTCCTCAGTAACACTTATAATTTATTTGACAACAGTAAAACTGGTTAAGACAACACAAAACTAAATTTAAAAAAAATACAAAAAAACCACTATGTGTTTGGAGCCATTTTCCTCCTTTTCAGTCTTGCTCGCCAGTCCTCAGGAAGGGCTTCAAAGTTAGCATTCCTTTCTGCCATGCCACTGTAAAAACAATATATATATATATTACTTTACTAGAAGGAAAAGAACCAAACTTTAAAATTTTGAACAAATTCAACTAATTGAAGCTGCAAACCTTGTCTATTATACTTATGTTCATGAAAATGTTTCAGGTTTCTAAGCCAAGTATAGAGCATTTTGTCTGTTATGGACTGCCATTTCAAGAATATGCCTGCTCTTACTCAGTGACACGTGGCTTAAACCTGTAATCCTAGCTATTCAGTAGGCTGAGATTTGAGGATTGTGGTTCAAAGCCAGCCTGGGCAGGAAAGTCCTTGAGATTCTTTTCTTTTCTTTTTTGGTCGGTCGAGGGGCTTGAACTTTGGGCTCGGGCACTGTCCCTGCACTCTTCAGCTCAAGGCGAGCGTTCTATCGCTTGAGCCACAGTGCCACTTCTGGTTTTCTGGTGGTTTATTGGAGATAAGAGTTTCACGGACTTTCCTGCCTGGGCTGGCTTTGAACTGTGATCCTCAGATCTCAGCCTCCTCAGTAGCTAGGATTACAGGCGTGAGCCACTGGCGCCTGGCTCCTTGAGACTCTTATCTCCAATTAACTACCAGAAAACTGGAAGTGGTATTGTGGCTCCAAAAAAAAAAAAGGAAAAAAAAGAATATGACTGCTCTAAGATGACAACTACCACTACAAGCCTGTAATGTGATGGGTTGGCTTTTACCTGACCAGCTGTTGCTGTTTCCACTCTTCAATTCGCTTCTGTGCAGTAGATTCCCGATCCTCTTCACTAGAACTTGAGTTCTCTTCTTCATCCAACTCACGCTGGATGCTCTGCCACTTCTTTACCAAAGATGGCATTTTTGTTTTACTCTTTTTTGTCTATAACAAAAGTTAAAGTCAGAAGAAATCTTAATATATAAAATAGGAATAGGGCCCTCCACCTTGGAGATAAGACCTTTGTCTGACTTTAAATGGAAAAACCGATTTTGTTTTACATAGGGTTTTATTATGTAGCCTAGAGTTGCTTCAAAATCTAAACTACTCCCTTAGCCTTCTAAGTGCTGAGATTAACGGTGTGAATCACTGTTTTTGCCTAACATACTGAAAAGTTGTTTATTTTCCTGTCAGTCATGGGGCTTGAACTTGGGGCCTAGGCACTGTCCCTGAGTTGTTTTGTGCAAGGCTAGCACTCTGCTGCTTTTAGCCACAGTACCACTTCCGGTTTTCAGGTGATTAATTGGAGATAAGAATCTCAAAGACTTTCTTGCCTGGGCTGGCTTTGAACTGTGATCCTGTGATCTCAGCATCCTGAGTGACTAGAATTACAGGCATGAACCACCAGTGCCCAGCTTAGAGTAGTCATATTCTTGAAATGGAAGCCGTTACAGACAAAATGCTCTATACTTGGCTTGGAAACCTGAAACATTTTCATGAACATAGGTATAATGGACAAGGTTTGCAACTTCAGTGAGAGGTTTTTACTTTGCTCAAAATTTTAAAGTTTAGGGCTGGGAAGGTGACTCAGTGGTAGAGTGCTTGCCTCGCATGCATGAAGCCCTGGTTTCGATTCCTCAGCACCACATAAACAGAAAAAGCCGGAAGCGGCACTGTGGCTCAAGTGGTAGAGCACTAGGCTTGAGCCGAAGAGCTCAGGGACAGTGCCCATGTGGAGTTCAAACCTGACTGAAACAAACAAACAAAAAAAACCAACTACAGAATCCAAACAGTAGTATTAACAAGGATCAGCATGTAGGTCAATGGAATAAAATCCAAAGTCCAGAAACAAACCCAAACATTTCGATAAGGATGACAGAATTGTTCAATGAGGAAAGTATGGTCTCTTCAAATAACTGGTGCTGGATACTTGGCTATGTACATCAAAGAGTTGGGCAATCAAACCTCAGTATCCCTATTTTGAGGGCTAGCAGGTCTTGAGTTCAAAATCCAAAACTGCCCAAATAAAATACTGACATACAGTTAAGTGCATGAACTGTGAAAACAGTAAATAAAGGAAGCCAGAAACACAAAGCAGATTGGTGTTTCCCAGGGGATGCAGAAGAGGATAAAGGAGTAACTGCTTAATTGGCATTCTTCTGTTTTGCTTACAATTAAACAGAGGTGGTAAATGCACAATACAAATGTATTATTATTTTCTTTACTTGGCAGTACTAGGATTTGAAGTCAGGAGCTCACATTTACTAGACAGGTACTCTACCACTTGAGTCATACCTCCTGCCTCAAACTCTGTACCTGATGCTTTTGCTCATTGGCTAGTGCTCTACCAACTGAGTCATGCCTCAAACCCCAAAAACCTTTTTAAATACAAAACACCTTAAGAGATTCACCTTATCTTTCTTTCCTTTTTTCACCTTCTCTGGTGGTGGCACTTTGGGAGCTGGTGGTGGTGGTGGAGGTGTTGGAGGGGGAGGAGGAGGAGGAGGAGGTGGTGGTTCTATAATGGCAGTGGCTGGCACAGTACCCCGGGCCTGGACTGACGGTAAGGACGGAGTAGTTACTCCAATTGGGACAGAACATTCAGCATAGGTCATAATTGTAGATGCTGCTGCTAGTCCAAGGTAATTTGACTGCAGGTTCAATCCTCTGGCCTGATGACTCATTCCTGCAGCTGGATGGCTAACTGACATTGCCTGGGATCCAATCCCTGTAGCCTGATGTCCAATCCCTGTGGCAGGGTGACCTAACACAGGAAACAAAGGAAAATTTTACAAAAGGGCACTAACAAGACAGAACCAAGGAGGAGGACAGAGGAATTGGGGGCTAGAACAATTAAAATCTTTTCAATATGCCTTTTTCTAAAAAATAGAAAATATAACCATATTTACTAAAAGCAGAATATTAATTTCTGAATATTTTCATACTAAGGAACTTAAGCATCAAAATCACTCATTAGATAAATTCACAGGAAACAATTTGCAAAGATATTTGCCAAAATTCACCATCCCACACTTTTCTGAAGTTTGAACTCTGGGCCTTGGTGTCATCCCTGAGTTTTGTTGAGCTACAGCTCCACTCCTGGCTTTCTGGTGATTAACTGGCAAGAAGATTCTCATAGACTTTCCTGCCTGGGCTAGCTTTGAACCATGTCACTCAGATCTCAGCCTTCTGATTGAGATTACAGGCCATGAGCCACCAGAACCTGGCTCTTGCCAAACTGCTTTAACAGTGATTTTTTTTTTTTTTTGGTTGGTTGTGGGGCCTGAACTCTGGGCCTGGGTGCTGTCCCTTAGCTCTTCAGCTCAAGGCTAGCGCTCTACCAGTGGAGCCATAGTGCCACTTCCAGCTTTTTCTGCTTATGTGGTATACTGAGGAATCAAACTCGGGGCCTCATGCATGCGAGGCAAGCGCTCTACCACTGAGCCACCTTCCCAGCCCCTTAACATTGATTTTTTTTTTTAATTGTGAAAATACCGTACAGAGGGGTCACCATTACATGGGCAAGATAACGAGTACATTTCTTCCTTAGTGATTTTTAATAACAGAATAAACCCCTATCAACAGTCTTAATGATCTTTAAAACAAAAAACAGAATCTAGTTCTGGAAACAAATGATACATAGAAAAAAGTACATTTTAATCTTGCTTACCTGTGGTAAGAGCTGATTGGCTATAGAGCACTGGAGAACTACCAATGGTAGCTGATCTTTGAACCACTGCAGTACTAATTTCTGAGGCTTTCCTCTTTATTGCTTTAGTAGAAGGAGAACTAGAGATGGTAGAATCAACTGAACTCTGAAAGACAAACAATGTGATCAGTGGCTGATAGCTCTGGTTAAACATATTATTCTAAAGTAAAATGTCACCAGTCAAACTCGTTACCATAACTATTCATAATTCCACAGGAATTAATTACCTGGCTAGTTACAACTGTGGTTTGTGTGGAAGGTTTCAGAGGAGTATCCTCTTCTGTTCCTGGGGCAGGAGGTTCCTCACTTCCCTCATCCTCCATTTCTACCTCCTGGATCTCACCATCTTCTGCAGGAGGAGGTGGGGGTGGTGGGGGAGGAGGGGATTCTGGGGGTGGAGGTGGGGGTGGTGGCATTTCCAAGGGTAATGGAGGTTGAAGTACTGGCACATTTGACTGAAGGAGGGTCCAGAATGGAGTAAGTGGCATGAGTGATGAAGAGGAAACTTGACCAGGAAAGGATTCTTTACAAAGAGAACCTATGAAAACAGACAGGAGTCAGGGAAAAAGCAAAACAAAAGCACTGTAATCTTCAAAGCAATAGTCAATTGACCATCGAAACAAACATCAGTATTAACTTAAGACAACGTGAATAGTAAGTTTCAAAAGGAGTGACTAGCAAAAATCTAGCCCATAGCAACTACTCCACACTGATGCTATTTAAACAATAAACTAGTTGGAAAATGACACCATGGAAGAGTTTAATTTATAACACACAGCATTTTTCCCAGCTCTAAAATACTACTCTCTTCTTTGGGTCCACATTTAAGGATCCAAAGACTATCAATTTATCTCAGTGGGAAATCTGGTTATCTGAATTTGTGGTTTGGAAATTTCTATTTTTGATGATAGGGCAGTACAGCCATAGATAAGAATACTTTATTTCAAACATTCAGTTTGCAATTCCCTGGAATCATTTCATGTCTCAGAAGTGAATCACATCCATTTGTAATAGTGATTCTACTTGTTTTTTGGTGAGTAGAAATGACATAGTATCCATTTAAAATTCCCATAAAAATTCTTCCCATTTTGACTATCTGGGTTACTAGGTTAAGTCAGTGTCTTACTATGTAACACAGGGTTGGTTTCAAACTCCATCTACAGCGTATGCTTCTCAAGTACTGGGATTGCAATGTGTTGCTACACCAAACAATCTACGTTACTATTTCTAAAATTCCATTTGCAAGGAGTTACCTGTTGACCTTGTCACAACTTCAAATATCTGAAAATTACATTCATTTGCTAATCACGGTAACTAGAAGTGAAGGCAAAAGGGTAACAGATTTTTTTCTTATAATGATAAAGGAAAAATTTAGGAGAAGATGTTTTCAAAATAAATGAGATTTTTGAAAAAAAGATATTTGAAGATGGGTTAGCAGAGTGACTCAAGTGGTCCAGTGCCCGTCCCAAAGTGGAAGGCCCTGAAAATCCAAGCCCTAGTACTAACTCAAAAATATTAATTTAAAAATCCTCTTTTGGGCTGTATTAGCTTTTTTGCTCATGGCTGGTACTCTACCACTTAAGCCATACCTCCAGTCTAGTATTTTGCTGGTTAATTAGGAGGAAAGAGGCTGGCTTTATGGCTCATCAACCCTCAGCTCTTAGCACCTTGTGAGTGACAGAAGCTTGGGGGGAGGGAGGGAAGGATTTGAGTATGAGAAGGATTTGAAATCACCACTGATGAAGTTTAAAAAATTCGAACTCAAAATCTGCAGAATAAGCTTTCCTCCAATTTTGTGAAAGGCACCATTACTATAATTTCTCTGCTGGGAAAAGCTTTTGTAAAGATTAGAGAAAATAGGATATACTTACTTGTAGCCTTCCCCATCCCTCTTTATCGTCAATAGGGAAGTTTCACAATATATGGGACATTAGATATATATCCCAGCAATGTTGAGGGGCTTTTCTCCCTAAAAATCATAGAATTTAGGAGTAGAAGAGACATGAGAAATTATCTAGTTTAACTTCCTCATTTCAAAGGTAATGAAACCCAGGCAGGAACTGACTTACTCTAGATCACACAGCTTTAAGGCCAGGCCAGAGTTAGATTTATGAAGTTGACTCATATTGTTTCCATATTTACTTTGAAATATGCCTTTACTACTAAGAAAAAGGGCACTGGAATTACTAGAAGACACGAATACAGTTTTCCAGGTACAAGACTCCATGTGACTAATGTTTTATGTTTGGCAATAAGTATTATTAATTTATCTATCAGTTTATAGACCAACTCTGACCTTGGGAAGGAACCCTACTTATAACAATACATCAAAACTACATCAAAATTAAGATAATAAACACCAAAGATTAATAACAATTATTTAAAGATTAAATGTCCTCTTACTAAACTAGCCATAGTAACTATGTCAGATAATACTGACAGGATTTTCTTTTATTATTATTTTTTTTTTGGGTTGGTGTGGGGCTTGAACTCTGGGCCTGGGCGCTGTCCCTCAGCTCTTCAGCTCAAGGCGAGCGCTCTACCACTTGAGCTACAGCGCCACTTCCGGTTTTCTGGTGGTTTATTGGAGATAGGAGTCTCACGGTCTCTCCTGCCCGGGCTGGCTTTGAATCGCGATCCTCAGATCTCAGCCTCCTGAGTAGCTAGGATTACAGGCGTGAGCCACTAGCGCCCGGCATTGGTACTGACAGGATTTTCAACTTAGGTATCCTATCACACCAATACATTTATGATGAAAATACACTGCTATTCAGAGAAATTCAAGGAAATGCAAGATGTTCAAAGTTAGTAACACAGTTCACAACCTGCAGAGAACTAACCAGAATTAACTGAATTTTTTTAGGTCTAAGACTGACTCAAACTTGGTACCTGCCACTTTCACTCATGGGCAAAGGCTCTACCAACTGAACTGTGCTTCCAATCCCTTAATTACATCTTGTATAAACCAATGAGACTACACTACTCTTGATACATTTGGCCACATGTTAAGGAGCATTTTTAGAATACCTGATCCCAAACTAAGTTAATTCACAATATAAATGCCTTAAGCCAGTACTGTGGCTTGAACTTAGGGCCTTGTGTTCTTGCTTGGCATTTTTGCTCAAGGTTGGTGCTCTACCACTTGAACCAGGAGAAGGAAGTTTAGTCTTAAATGATTATTAATCTTCAATGTTTATTACCTTAATTTAGATGTAATTTTGATGTACTATTATATAAAGTAGGGTTCCTAGCCAAGGTTAGACTTTGTCTACAAACTGAGCCACCTCCACTTTAGGCTTTTTGCTGATCAACTGGAGTAAAAAGATAAAAGTCTCACAGGCAGAACTCTTCTGCCTGGGCTAGCTTCAAATTGTTATCCTCAGACTTCAGCCTTCTCAGTGGTTAGGATTATAGTTGTGAACCACCAGTGCTTGGCCAAAAGTTGTAGCTTAAACACTGATTTCTTTTAGCTTAAGGTCAAAGTTGATGAAAAATATGCTATATGATTGTCCATTACAATCTTCATTCCTAAATTTAACCTGTTGGGTGAAATTTACCATGTAAAAGAACATTCTGATGTCCAAGGAGATTTAAGTAACACAAAGAGCTTTTACTTATGTATTAGAATTCTACAAGCTTAAAGAGAATTGATTGGTGATACTATTTTTTTTTTTTTGTCGGTCGTGGGGCTTGCACTCTGAGCCTGGGCGCTGTCCCTCAGCTCTTACAGCTCAAGCCAAGCGCTCTACTGCTTGAGCCACAGTGCCACTTCCGATACTATTTTTATTTTAGGACTTTCCCCGCCTTGGTGCTGTTATAGGCAGCCTTCCTTTATTTAACTATCAAGAGAAATGACTACTTAAGAGGTCAGTTTTAATAATTCAAAGAAAGAGATTATACAAATATAGTTCCACAGAGATGAAAAAAATAGTTTAAGTTAGTCTCTGTGATATAAGCCCCCTAAAAATCCATTATTGTCTTATCTTTATAGACTATAAGATGTTCAATTCAAACACTGAATCAAGAAATAAATGAAATCTCAAAATGTCAAGGTTGATCCAAGAGTAATTCTTTTTCCTTTCTTTTTTGTGGTTTTGGGGGGGTTATAAACCAGAGACCTCATACATGCTAAGCACAAGGTTTAACACTGTGCTATATACCACTAGCTCCCAATTTTCCTTCCTCAATGGTGACTTTAGTTACTACTGAGTCAACAAAGAACATATACATATTATATGACTTTGTAGGTTTTGAAGTGACTGATATTGTTTTAAAATCTCATAGACCTTGTAAAAAATCTAGATTTTTTTTTTCTTCTTGTGAGTCGTGGGGCTTGAACTCAGGGCCCGGGTACTATCCCTGAGCTCTTTTGTGCAAGGCTAATGCTCTACCACTTTGAGCCAAAGCACCACTTCCAGTTTTCTGGTGGTTAAATGGAGATAAACAGTTTTACAGCCTTTCTTGCCTGAGCTGATTTTGAACCGTGATCCTCAGATCTCAGCCTTTGAAGTAGCTAGGATTACAAGGCATGATCTACTATGTACAAAGGGTAAGATTTGGATTTTATTTAGATCATGTTTATCATGTTCCAGGGCCTCTCAAGATATCCTGTTTTGTTGTTATCAGAAAAGAATGGCACTTGATCTGTATTTTAAAAAAAAACAGTCTGTGTACACTCTTAGGAGTTTGTAACTAAGTATTCAATTTCAGGACATGAACAAAGGACATAAGACAGTAGACAGGAATGAATGGAATACTCTACTTAGAATCATGACCAATACTCTTCCATAACTATCATCTGTAGTTCATTATTTGTTAAATGGCAAATAGCAGAGGGGAAAAAAACCCAACCTATTATCAGACATACCACCATTTCTAGAAAATGTCTGCATGAAAAGGTAAGTTGAAATATCCTGTAACTTGAGAAATTATACTACACTTTTGAAACAAAGTAGTAAACTACTATTGCTATTTTCTAAAATTATCAAAGAAATTTTAAGGAGTTTTTAAGGTGCTATTTTATCCAGGCTATTTAAAGACGTTAACAAAATCATGTTATATTACCAGATTTTACTGGGACCCAGAGTACCAAGTATTTTTTCTTGTTTGTTGTGAGGCTTGAGCTCAGAGCCTGGATGTTATCCCTGAGCTCTTTTGCTTAAGGCTAGTGCTCTACCACTTTGAGCTACAACTCTACTCCCAGGTTTTGATTGGTTAACTGGAGATAGGAGTCTCATGGGGATTTTTCTGTCCATGCTGGCTTCAAACCACAATTCATAGATCTTAGCCTCCTCGGTAGCTAGGGTGAGCCACCACTGCCATGCTGTATTTACTGCCTTATACAGGAGTCGTCCGTCACCCCTGCCCCCCACCCTGCCACCTCAGTTGTGGGGTTTAAACTCCAGTGCGGTCCCTGAGCTCTTCAGCTCAATCTGAGCGCTCTACCACTCAAGCCACAGTGCCACTTCCTGGTTTTCTGGTGGTTAATTGGAAATCAAAGTCTTGGGGGGGGGGGAGGCGTGCTAGAGGGGGGGAAGTTGGGGAAGGTAGGGGAAAGAGAAAGGAGGAGTAACTGTAACCCTTCTGTACACTATTTTTACAATAAAAAAAAAACCCAAACATTAAAAAAGCTAAAAAAAAAAAAAGTCTCAAGACTTTCCTGCCTGGGTTGGCTCTGAACTCAGATCTCAGCCTCCCAAGTAGCTAGGATTTCAGGTGTGAACCACCAGTGCCCAGCTATACAGGGATTTTCTATGTAGCCCAGGATAGCTTCAACCTTTTGATTCTCCAGCCTCAGCCTTTCAAGTACTGGGATCTCAATCATACATCATCATGCAAATTATAAGTTTAAGAACAAAAGGTTGCTAAGCACTGTCAAGCCCATGCTTCATTAAATTTATCTAAGAAAATTGAAATTTGGAAAAGACTTCTTTCACAAAATGACTAGCAAATCTTCTAAAAAGATATTTAAATTCTGAGAGTAACAAGACCTATGAAAGCCCTATTTAAAAAAAAAAAAGCATGTATTCCTCTAAGGGTAAGGGCACCTTAATGTCACCCTATTATCTAATTGCTTTATACTAGAATATGATGTTTTGGCGGGTAATTGGAGATAACAGTCTCATACCCTAGCTTTGAACAGCAATCCTCAGATTTCAGCCTCGCGTTATAGGTGCCACCAGTGCCCAGCGGATTGTTTATTTTTAATCATAAACTATTTTCCTTCTCTGAAATCAGTGCAAGTTTCACAATATTTCTTCTATCATTTTAATTTGTACCAATATTACATTGTCTCCCCAAAAGGAAATGTACTCTTTACCAAACTTACGTAATTGTAACCTGTATGGTACATCACCTTTATAAAATAAAAATAATTAAAAGACTACAATGGAGAGATAACATTATATCAACAGACTAAATGTTCTACAATGATGTAAAAAAAAAAAAAGTCACCAAACAGATATTGCCAGTTCAAAATGGCTAGTCCCTTATCTTTACCATTCTTGTTTTTGGAGATTCACAGCCTTTTCAAAGACATGATAGAATGCCTAAGTAAATATTCTATTTAAAAATTTTTACAATGATGCATAAAACATGAAAAAGTGTAGTGCCACCTGGGTACAGGTGGCTGATGTCTTTTATAATAACTACTAAGGAGGGTGGGATCTGATGATTGTGGTTTGAGACCAGACTGAACAGGGAAGTCTGTGAGACTCTTATCTCCAATAAACTACTCAGAAAAGGCTGGAAGTAGAGCTCTGGCTCAAGTGGTAGAGCAGCAGCCTTAAGCAGAAGCAGCTCAGGGACAGTGCCCAGGCCCCAAGTTCAAGTGTCAGGACTGGTCAAAAAAAAAAAAAAAAAGTGTAGTGCCCAGCTACACTTTTTAAAGTAGCTTACCTAATGATATAAATTAATTGCCTTTGATCTGGGTGCTGGTGGCTCACACCTGTAATTCTACTTACTCAGGAGGCTAAGATCTGTGAATTGTGGTTCGAAGCCAGCATGAACAGAAAAATGTCCCTGAGAATCCTATCTCCAGTTAACCACTCAAAACCTGTAGAGCACTGGCCTTGAGCAAAAGAGATCAGGTACAGTGCCCAGGTCCTGAGTTCAAGTCCCACAACCAACAAAAATACACAAATAAGTAAATAATTGTATTCTAATATAAAAATCTCATGTCTAAGCCAGGGGCCGGTGGCTCATGCCTGTAATCCTAGCTACTCAGGAGGCTGAGACCTGAGGATCATGGTTCAAAACCAGTCTGGGCAGGAAAGTCTGTGAGACACTTGTCTCCAATAAACCACTAGAAAATTGGAAGTGGCACTGTGGCTCAAGTGGTAGAGTGCTCGCCTTGAGCTAAAGAGCACAGGGACAGTGCCCAAGCCCAGAGTTCAAGCCCCACAACTGACAAAAAAAAATAAAAATCCCATGTCTTTTTCTCTAAAATCATTGTTGTCCAACTAGTACTGAGTAAACTAGCCCACCTGTGGAATTTTCAGAGGATTCTGTAGGATTTGAATCAGTGCCACTTTTGTCTTTCAAAGCTGATTTAGGAAGAGTCAGGTCTCTATTTTCTTGAGCTTGGCTTTCTTCCTCCTCCTCACCATCTGGGAATTCCCACTGAGACTCGCCCGACTGTTCGTTTACATAGAAATATCGTCTATGATCCCTAAATTACAAGAAAGAAAACACATGTTTTAAAATCCATTCTCCTACAAAGACACTTCCATCTGGTCCTGTCCCAGGACAAGCAGTCTGCTCTCACAGGGACGAACCTCTTCTTAGGGACTGCTATTCACAAAGGCAACAAAGAGCTTTGACAATTGAGGATGAAGAACCCAGGATAATTCAAAGCTATTTGCAGTGCCAGCAGCTCTGTGAATACAGCCCTGAGCCCTCCTCTCCAACACATGACTTAGAAAACATCTGTTTTGTTTTTTTGCCAATGCATAACAGGGTTCCAAGTTTCATTAATGAAGGGATTCAATCGCCTAGAACACTAATTTCCCTTCCAAAGAAGAGAACAACGAAGTTTGTGAAAGGTGACTCTTCCCCTCTTGGACCGTGGAATTCACATTTCATATTCTTGATATCAAACACAGTGAAAGCTAAAGAGAGGGAGAGGATCTGGGAGCTGAAAAATAAAAGAGCAAAGATTTCAAATAATGAAAAAAAAATCAAGAAAAGCCAAATATAAAAAGAAATGTTTTCATCTGACCTGCTGGCAGAGGATAGTAATCTTGTTCTTCATTCACATCTTCAGTCACGAAGTTTTCCTTAACTTCACCGAGGTTAATCAGGAGTAGTTGCTTCCAGAGGTCCTGTAAAGCGCACAGAGCTCTCGCATGCGCTTAACCCCCAAGCCCGCCCTACTCCGTGCAACACTCTGGAGAGTAAAAACCGGCTTCGTCCAATCTTGGAAAAAAATCCGTTACATGGAACATAAACATTGCTTTTTGTATCTCCAATGTGTGGCTGGCCAAACTCTGTGCTTGTGGTGCTTTGCCTGCCCAGCACCGCTAACTGTAGCTGCTCACAGTCTCCAGACAGGCTGTCATGTCGTCAGATGGTGGTGATCACAAATCATGTCTGAGATGTCAAAGGTGAAAGGTGAAAAGGGGAGAAGAGTGCGTACCTGTCCCAGTGGCAGGACCAGCCTTTAGGAGTGGCGTTTATTTCATACTGTTTTAGTTGTTCTGCTGCATCCTGAAGTTTTCGTTTAAGGTAGTTTCCATTAAGTGCCCCTTCCCGCCAGTCTGCAATTCGAGTCTAGAATCAATGGAGAAGATTTATTATTGTT